ACCTGTCGTGGCAAATTGATGCAATAATCATGCCAACTAGGTAGAAGTGGAATTTGAATGTCACCATTAATCCCTTGTGGTTTTTTTTATATTTATTTTTTATTTTTTATATTTACTATTAAGATGTCCTCCAATTAATTTTTGTATATTTTAAAGTAATTAGTTTTTAAAATAATATTAAGCGTACATTTCCTACATTTGCTTTGTGCAATTAAAAAGAAATTAATTTTAAATTTGATTTATAAAATACTATTTATTTACCAAACCCTAGAGGTTATTCCTTAGGGTTGTTTAATGCATAAATATTGAGTTTAATATATATTGGTGAAAATGTTACATTTACTTATTTTCAGTAATTGTTGAAATGAATTTGTAATAACCCAAAATTTTTTAAAACCTTAAAATTTAAGTTAAGGATTTATGTGGAACAAATTTTTATTGTTAGGCCTAATGATTAAAAATTTAATAATCTAAGGGTGGGCCAAAAGCAAATCTGATATTTACTGGGGTTAAGCCTGATTTTCGATTTCTTCCCTCACCTTTCCTGCGTATTTCCAACCCTTCACCCGAAGAGTTGCAGCCTCAAGCCCTAGCTGCCCAACACATCGTCACTATGAGGAAATGAGTAAGAAACTTAGCTGTTTTTTCCTTCTTCTAGCAAGATATAGAGATTAATAGGCTTATAATTCTCATGAAGAATATTTCAGATCTGGGTTACTGCACCCTCCAATCTGTTGATCTGTTTTGGGTTGGTATCCATCACCATTTTCAACACTTTTTGGTAAGAAATCAACCATATTAATCATCTTTTCCTTTATGATTTGAAGTGGGTTAACTCTAATCCTTCAGGGTTTTCAAATTTATAAATTTTCTATAGTTTCCCCCTTGATTTTGTCCATGATAAATACTACTAGAAATTGATTTCCTTTACTTGCTAGAAATTTGGACTGCATGACCCTTCTTCAGTAAATTACCCATAACTTTTTCTGTAGATATTGTTTCGAGTTCATTCTTAATTCTATGGAAAGCTAAGAGATAACCCTACAAGTTTTAAGTTGGACATTTAACTCAATTCAGCTGTTTTCAAGGTGAAAACTCTACTGCAATTTTGGATCCTACAAGCGGATTGAACTAGCAGCCCGACCTATTGTCACTATTTCGACCTTAATTTCCTTTGTAGATGTCAAATTAAGGTAATTCTTGATCCTATAGAACATTAAGACATAGGGCTACATTTTATCTGTTAATTATTCAGCCCAGATTGATCAATTTCTATGTGAAAATTCTGGTGGAATGTCTAGTTCAAAAATTTACCCAAACTTCCTAGCAAGTTATTATGTTTTCTGCTTTACTCCCACATTCCTACTGCCATATTGCATCATGGTTTTTTTTAGATTTTTAGCTGCTATTTTGACTGCTTTTGCCCCATATTTGGTTTGTGAAATTCTGCTCTGTTAGTTACATTAAAGAATTCGTTTTAGGTGCTGCTTTAGCACCAGAATACTACCTTGCCCTGCTGTTGAAATGTTGTTTGTCTTGGCTTAGTTTTGGTTCCCTTTCTCCTGCTATTTTTACCATAAATTTTTCTATTTTTTACACTATTTTAACCTAGAAAATTTTGCATTTTCTTGCACTTTCCCTTGCTATTTTTTGCACACGTATAACCCAAAAAATTCCTTGCTATTTTTTGCACTGTATAACCCAAAAAATTCTACATTTTTCTGCATTTTCCTTACTGTCTTGTACATTGTTTTCCGTAGAATTTCCTGCCATTTACCAAAATTTTGCTGCTCCTTGCCAAACATTTTTGGAATGTCTGTTGTCACATTTGGAATTTTTTTTAAAATTAATATACATATGTTAGTAAGGTTTTGGTGGGTAGAAATGGCAAGAGGAGATAGAGTGAAATTGTTCCCCTGGGTTAGAACTTGGTGCTAGAATTAAAGACCAATTTAGTTGTATAAGGCATGTTGTGATCTTGTTTTTCTTGATATAAAATGGGTTCTAAGACACCTTCGCCTCCTTGAGACTTGAATTCTAACTTACGGTATAATGACAAGGGGAGGTAAGTAAATTTATGGTTCATCCTTGATTTTAAAATGTAGGTTTGAACCATGACTTTTATCAATTTTGAGATAGTGGTAGGATTAAAAGTCTGTTTTGGCTTAACTACCATGACTAAATCTTATTTTATCGAGTTAGATTTCAATTGATCAAGCGAGCCTATTTATACAAGTTTTTTTTACATATATTACACGCTCCCTGCTATACATAGTTTCCTAAATTTACTTGAAATATACTTTCTAACCTGCTTTAGTTTCCAATATAGTCATGTATTACTTTTGCCCGCTAACGAGAGGTTTATAAACACTAGCACATGTCGACATGTTACTTATGGAACTGGTTCATTCTTGTTATACCTGTTATCCTGCTAGTGGGATTATACACTAGTAAATCTTGTGTCCACCAATGGAAGGTTTATAAACGTTGGTCATGACTTATAAAAGAGATGTCTATTTCATTTCCTATATTCGTATTGTTTTTCTTAAAATTTTGTTACACTTCATGGCATGCTTAATTATAAATGAGGGCTATCCATATTTTACTTACTAAAATATCTCATAGTTTTCCTTATCCACCATTTCAGGTAATGAGACTTGAGACATGGAAAACCAAGATGAGTGATGAGCTAGAAGGCTAGTTATATTTTTCTTGGTCTTATAGATCGTTTTGGAGTTATGTCGCTAGTCACATATACTTTGATATAGATGTTGGATAATAGATCATTCTTTTGTATACTAAAGTTCCCTTGGATATAGCCATGAATGTATTGATAAAATAATATAACTTTTGTCCACTTTGACTAGTCAAACTTTGGTAATTGAAAGCTAGATACTACTTGAGTTTTTAGATCTAAGTTATGTGGATTGGTAGTTATGAATTTATCAGGTTTCGAATCTTGTGCATTTAGGGGACCCTCTCACAAGTGTATGGTATCTGTTTCATTCCCAATTTTGAGGCGTGACAGAATTTTTATGCTTTTACTTAAAATAAATGTCTTTTCATCTTTTGAGTTAAATAAAATTAACTTTTTTACATTTTAATTAAAATAAATTAGTTAAAATTTAATAGATAATGTCATTATATGTGGTCATTTCATCTTTCTCTTTTAATACTCAATAAGCTCTTATTAATTTGACAATCATAAACCTTTTTTTTTATATATGGCATTTTTTTTTAACAAGTAATCAAATGAAATTGCTTAACTCTTTCTTAGTAGTCACCTTGAGATTAAAAAAACAAAATGTCATGTCATTTAAAAAAAAATAAAATCTTGATTGCTAAATTAATAAGAGTTTAAGAAGTATAGAAGAGAAAATTCTTAATAATAATTTATGATTATGTCATTTGTTAAATTTTTTCTAATTTATTTCAACTAAAAATATAAGAGTGTTAATTTCATTTAACTTAAAGTATGATAAAAAAAAACTTTTTTAAAAATAAACACATGTTTATTTTCATGATCACTGAAAGTAAGGTATACATATACCATTTTTGTCTTAAAAATTTCAAAAGAGTAGTAATATTCTTGGGATTAAATTTTATGAGGAAAGAGAACAATGATATATATACTCTGCTAAATTATTTTAGCTCATATGTGACCACAGCATAAATATCAATGACTATCATAAAATTGTCCTAAATTTTAATCATAAAAAATATCCTTATATTATCATTATTTATTTCAAAATTATTCTCTCCCTTTTCTTTACTCTCATTCCCATAAAAATTTTCCCAGGTGGGAGGATGGAAAACTAAACAGCAGTTTTTGGGAGCGAAAATTAAAGTTGCATCAGGGATTGATGCGTTGAGCTATAATTGTAGGTTTTTCTCCTTTTAATTTTCCTATCACACATGTATAGTATAAATTAATATCTTTATATATTTATAATAATTTGAATTGTAAAAACAAAAAATTTTTATGATATAAATACAATATCTCAAAAAGGTCAAAAACTTAATATATTTGAATCAAGAAGAATAGAAGAGAGGAAAAAAATTTCTATTTAATTATAAAAAGAATTAGATGGAGGGAAAGGAAAAAATTCTTTTATTTTTTTTTAAAATTTAATTAGTTACCTAAATGAAAAAAAAAAAAGAGTAGAGGGAAGTAGAAGGAAATAAAAAATATAAATTTTCTTGTCTCTATTCCCTACATAGTAATAGTTCAAGAACCAAGTGTGCGGACAGCGGGGTTATGATGGAGTAGGAAGAACTCCAAAGGAGTCATAAGTTGGTGGTTGGCATGGACGAGATGGCTTCCTTCAAACCTTATTAGACGACTCGGACGGACATCCATGATCCATCCCGACTAATGTCTTTGAACTTGGTATTACTACTCCCTTGACGGTGGCGCCTTCGTGTATCTTAAAATTTTGGATAAAGCTATTTAGGCCATTTCATCCGCACTAAAATAATATACATTTAAAAAAAATGTTTTTGCATATTATAAATTTAAGGGGAATTTATATTTTTATTTAAAAAAAAAAAGAGTTTTGTGATAGACTGGATAATTACACTTAAAGAATAATAATAAGGTCAAAATAAAAAAAAAATATTTGTATCCCTAGCATGAAAAAAATGACCAATAATCTTAGACAAATCCTAAGTTAAAAACAATTTCAAATAGAGTACATCTTGTGCCCATGCGATACCCTTCTTTGTATGAGTTGTACGACTGTTACACTTTTTTAGGTAATCAGCCTGGTTGGTTATACTCTCTGCATTCCTTATAATTATTTTAATTTGAATACTTGACTTTTTAAATAATAACTTAAAATAAAAATTTAACAAAATATATAGATAATTATGCTATAGTTATAATATTGTTTAAGATTATTAATTTACAATTGAATATAATATGATATTAAATAAGTAGATATATAAATATTATGGATAAATTTATAAATAAAAGAATTAATTATATAATAATATATTATATTATAAATTTATAATACTACGTAATATTATAATTATAATATTTTTTATATATAGACGATAATTGAAATTTTCTTATTTTTATGCTAATATATTCATTCTATATTTCAATTAGAGAAAAGAAGTGCATGGTCATATACTAATTGCACCACTGGCTTCTCATTAAGGACCAGACCTTGGACCACCTCAGTAACATC